CTAGTGATATTAGTAGGGGATATACAAAACACGGGGATACTCATATCACTGTGACAGCGGAAGTAGAAAGTCTGGCTTGCGATATTGACATATATAAAAGCAATTACGCCTCGTGTTTTACACGCTTCTCGAGTATTCTCCCAATCTACCCAATTGTATTATGACAAAAAAGCACGAGTCTCATTTTCTATTTCTTAAATGAAAGACCATTAAAGAAATTTTTCGAATAAACTTTAAAATTTCAATCGCCAAATTTTCAGTAATTAATTTGACTTCATTTCCAATGTAATTAACCAATATGAAACATTTTCCGTGTTGATATACAGTTATATCAACACGAGTGGGAATTGGAAAGATGAGAAATTTCGAGTTCTCAAATATTATTTTTTTATAATATGACAGAAAGAAATATAAAGAATGAAATTTTCCGTGTTGACATAGAGTTATATCAACACGGCTCTTAGCCAATCAGCGTTCCCAAATGTTTTAATACGGAATTTTCACTATTATTGGAATTAAAATGTAGGAATCCTTTATCATCTTACTGTGTAAATATTTCTCTTCATACTTAAGCTGGCAAATATACCAAAAAGGTTATCCCGACTGCTGGCATAAACCTTGCCGTATAATATTCTTTTAAACCTATAGTGTTTTGCATCCTATTCTATTACATGCTTCTATTAAGCTCAACAGTGCCGGCCAGTTACGCTGTATTGTGTTTTTAAAACTTGTAAAGTCGTAAGTGCATGTTATTAAAACTTTAGTCCGAGTGTTGGTTTTAAACTACATTTACCAACTTTCTGCATGCACACTTTCCTGAACAAAGCTAACCAGAAACTATACTTTTTAATTTTAAGTCAGGTAAAAGGTCATTCCATTATTGTGTTTATATTGTAAGCCGACATTCAACAATTTGTATAATAAAACAATGAAGTTATGCACACAGGAAGCCATTTGAAAGTATAAGAAACACTACATGGAAAACTAAAACAGTAGCCGTGATTTCTGCAAATTCTTAAACTGATATTTGGATATTTCTTTTATTTCGTTAAAATATTTATATTAAATAATTTAAGGCAAATAATTATTGATAAATTTCGTGGTTCTTGGCCAATTCCTTCCGCCATGCGTTTGCTTTATCCCTTCTGTCTGCGTCGCACACTTAATTTCTTGTAATATTGTACCGAGTGCCTTACAGATTTATTACCTGCAGCTGTAATTGCGGCACTAACAACAACTACAAGCATCGACATCACTCCAGTAGTCTTCATTTTCCTTGAATTGTAACTAGCGAAAACTAGACAAAAAACAAACGAAAGAAGAATCTTTCAAATTAAATATATATTAGCTATAGTTTCAAAAGTTTATTTTTGAGCAAACATTTGCAAGAAATACACCTTTTCCATGGGAATACTACAACGATTGGGATTAAAACCAGGTGTTCCGATTAGTTCTGACCGTTTTATATCTTTTTGCAGCAAAAAGTAAGGAGTTTTGCTCCTCTATTTTTGAAAAAAATGACGAAGTTTGGATATGCAGGAGAAACTCTGTCTTCAACTCGAAAAAATATACTATAAAACATTTTGACAGTCCCAAAACGTATTTTGTACTGAACCCCAGGAATTGTTATTTATCCCGAGCTTTTAGTCCTTGTTTTATTCCTTCTAAACATGAATAAATTGATTTTTTAAAGTGATGTTATTTTCGTCATCGCATAGTATTGTTGGGCAGCCTAGCTTTGACAATGCTTATTCAGTTAACTGTTAAATGTAAGTCATGGTTATACTTGAAAATAGATTTGCAAATGCATTTAATATTTTTCTGCATAATTTGTATCATAAAATTTCCTAATTTTTTTTTAAATTCTCATAACTCCAAAAATGATTTTCGCGCGGTTTTTTAACAAATTATGTATTCGGACCCTGTTATATTTTAGCAGTTGAACGATTTTTGTTTATTGTAAGTACTCGAGTGAAAAGATTAACTGTCTTAGTATGATCTAAAATGAAAGGGAAAGGAAATTAAAGGGATAACATTTATCGAAATAAAAAGTTATATTTAAAGTTATATTTATTTTATATAAAAAAATGCAAAAAGGGATTGGCTCTAGCCTTCCAGTTTACTTATATATGGTTCAATGGAGTTAACTCGTGGGAAAAAAGCAGCTGGAAACTTGGTTACGCATGCGCCAATTAACCAAAATTTCCAATGAAACTTTAAAGATTTCCCCGAAGAAATATAGCGAGACGCTCGCGGTTGTTGTATATTTTTGAATGCTTGTTTAATTTAAGCTAGTTCTAGTCAAAGAAAGAGTAAAATGTACCCTACGTTTTTAGTGTATAGAATATCTCGTTTGAGCAGCAATGGAATATTATAATCCTGACACAATCAAGAAAACTGACCGATTTGACACGCCAAATCTGCAGTCATGCAGATACCCTAGATAAAAGCCAATCGTCGCGCCGTGGACAGCCTTGTAAAAATTTGGGTTCAAACAGAAAGAAGTTCAATGTTAATACGACTGCAAATGCATAGTCTGTCAAGATATGATGGTCTGCAGGAAGCCCGCAAAACTTGAAAGCTACAAAATAGATGATTGTTATTAATGTTATTTTTTTTTAATTTTAATTTTATTTTGTTTCTTAATGTTCAATGTTGAACTGTATACCTCATCGTGCCGAAGCCCTTTGTCTCAACTTCATTATAAACATTATTTTTCACCCTGCTCGATTTCCTTTGTTCTTATCGGGTAATATATATTCAATATTCCCCTCTAATCAATTTCCCTCTAATAATCCGCTCTAATATTCACGTGCAATGTCTTTGCAGCACAAAAAATGAGAAAAAACAACATCACGAAGGCAATATGGCATTAAGAATTATTTCTATTCTGACTATTAACGCGACCTCGCAATGTGAAAAATAAGTACGTTATTTTGAGCACCTCGGGGATATGTGCTTATTCACCCCTCAGCGCTGCGCGCCTCGGTGAATAAATCACATATCCCCTCGTTGCCTCAAAATAACCTGTACTTATTCATTGTTGTTGCACGTTTCACCTCACCTACAGGGTGCATGTATAAAAAAAAAAAGCAACCTCGGAATTTCCCAAGAAATCGACATTGTTTTAAAGACAAAAGATTTTAGGCGCCTGGGAATTTAAAATAGCACAACTAGTCGAAATTACTGCACACGCGAGTGCATAAAGCAAAATTAACAACAGTAATATGATCTATTAGCAATTCGATTTCAATTCCCAAGGGCCTAAAATCTTTTATGCTTAAGAAATGCAAAGTGATTTCTCAGGAAATTCCGAGGTTGCGTTTTTTTTTTTATACACCCTGTACAGGGTGTATCAATAAAAACGCAACCTCGGAATTTCCTAAGAAATCACTTTGCAATTCTTAAGCATAAAAGATTTTAGGCCCCTGGGAATTGAAATCGAATTGCTAATAGATCATATTACTGTTGTTGTGCATTAAATAAATGCATAAATTTTGCACTCGCGTGTGCAGTAATTTTGACAGCTATGCTATTTTAAATTCCCAGGCGCCTAAAATCTTTTGTCTTTAAAACAATGTCGAATTCTTGGGAAATTCCGAGGTTGCGCTTTTTTTGATACACCCTGTACAGGGTGTCTCAAAAAAACCCAAAATCATTGAAATTGACGTATTGTTCGATATTCAATGCCCTAGCACTAAGTTAATCCCACGAGTGCATAAAAGATTGACATAACTGCTATAATGAATGGTAATACTCAGCGTAAACTTGTTATGTCAGGCATAAACTACTAAACCCACGAATGCATATTACGCATATTACAATTTACGAAGCATTTTTAAATTCCCATGAGAAAACAAACGTTCACTTTACAAAGATATTTTAATTTTTTAAAACAAATTAATCACCCTGTCAAAATCCTTTGTGTTACGGCATTGAAATTCGAACAATACGTTATTTCAATGATTTTGGGTTTTTTTGAGACACCCTGTATATTGGACAAATATTTCAAAATACGGAAACATAAAGAGTTCAACCAGCGTGACTGTGCACAAATTAACATAAACTCACATAAATACATAACACGATGACTTTTGTTTTAGGCAGCGTTTACACTGTACCGTTTTCGTAGCGTTCTCGTATTGTTCGAGAGAACTAGACTATTGTCTTGCGTTCCCTTGAGAATTAAGAACAATACGAGAACGCTACGAAAACGGTACAGTGTAAACGCTGCCTAAGTTTCCAGACCATCATATCTTCATAGACTATGCCAAATATCAGTGATTTTTATGGCAAATAATCTCGATCAGGGACAAAAAATAAAGAATTACTTATGTATAAATATTTGGTTTTCAGTGAGTGTTATTTTGCCCCAACGTCAATGCAAATTTCATTATGTTAAGGCCCTGTCATACTATTGCGTATATGAGAGAATCGTAAGAGAAGCGTATTAAAATTAATGAAATACATTTATACCCACAAAAATCCCTTGAAATTCCGGCGTATGAGTACCGTACGACTGATGTACCTCTAGTGTGTTCAGCGTGTGCCTATATAGCTAGAGTATGCTTATGGTATAAACCATACGTCCGAATGGGCGCACACAATTTTTGACTATGTAATTAAAAAAATGTTTCTCTCTCGCCGGATCTCGCCGTATGCCAGCGTATGCCACTGTATGCGACCTTGCTTGAAACGTACAGTATACAACCTATTTCTAACGTACCCCTAGCGTATAAGTCAGCGTAAACCAGCGTATGAGCAATATTTTTCATACGCCAGCGTATGCTAGTACGATACGCAATACTGCATTCGACTGCATAGGGTGACAGGGCCTTAAAGGAGCTGTCACACTATTGCGTATGAGAGAAGCGTATGAAAATTAATGAAATAATTTTCATACGGACAAAAATCCTTTGAAATGCCAGCGTATGTGTACCGTACATCTGTCGTACCTCTAGCGTATTCAGCGTGTGCCTAAAATAGATCGCATAATGTCGATGTTTACGAAGTTACAGTTGAAGCAAGATGAAGAAAGTCAACGAGCGGCTGAATCCGAGGCGAAAGTCGAAAGTTTGGTTTCAGAACATATTTCCAAGATGGCGACCGAAATCGAATCGCTAAAAGCAACCGTGGCAGAACTAGAATTCGAGAACTCTGCAATAAAGAACGTTTTAGAGATGAAACAAAGTGAGTGGATTAAAGTAGATTCTAAGAAAAGCCCATCTATTGAAATCAAAACTGTGGATATCCCATCTGAAACCCCAGTCCATAACAGCTTTTCAACACTGAATGTTGAGGAGCCAGAAGAAGACAAAGCATATACTAGCTTTCCAGCATTGGATGACGATGAGAAAAATATGGATAGTAGCCATAAAACCAATGTCAGCCATCCAAAGCAAAAGTCTAAATCTGGAAAAATATCAACATGGAAGAATACGGAACAAAATATCGGTGCCAAGCAAAGAAATGACCTGAACAAAACCATTGTGATTGGTGATTCCATGATCAAACACATCGACAGCAAGAAAATTGAAAGGGCTGCAGGAAGTAAATCGGTTTCCCACTCTTATAGCGGAGCAAGAGTTAACCAGATTAATGAGAAATTCAAGGAACACCGAAACAAAGAGCAGTATGATTGCATCATACTTCACGTTGGGACGAATGATCTGGTTCACCAAGAGGCTGAACAAGTGGCGGCAGATATGGAAAAGCTATTAGAAGAAGTAAAGACACACACGACAAAAGTTGCTGTATCAAGTGTTATTCAAAGATATGATGGCCGAGTAAGTTCAAACAAAATAAATTGTTATAATGGCTTAGTGAAAACATTATGCTCCAAGCATAATGTTCACTTTATTAATAATAACAATATTGATAAGTCCTTTTTAAATGGCTCAAATCTACATTTGAACCGGAAAGGTGACAGTGCTCTAGGCAGTGCATTCTGCACATATATTAAATCAAATAGAGTTAAAAACCCTAGTAAGGTATCAGTGCCTTTAAGTGAAAACAACCAGGGTTTTCACCATGTTTATGGACACAGGAACAGAGAGTGGACTCTATACCTGGAATATGTCAGCCAGAGGTTGCTGAGCAAATAGATAGAAATCCTAATATTGTAAACACAAATTATGTGAGTAGCGATTTTTTAATTAGCCTAAACTCCATTCCTAAAGAAAGAGGTTTCAAAATGGCTTTTCTAAACATTGTTAGTCTGCCCAAAAAAATTGATGAAATAAGATTTTCAATGTCAAACAAGTACATTGATCTCATTGCTTTCAATGAAACACGACTTGACCAAAGTATACCTGATAACCTGATTCACCTTGATGGTTATGATATTATTAGGAAAGATAGGTCGAGAAATGGAGGTGGAGTATGTATTTATTTGCGTAGCTCAATCAATTACAATATAAGACATGATCTGATTCCCTCTGAACTAGAGGGTGTTTGTGTAGAAGTTATTAAGCCACATAGCCGACCATTTCTTATTACAACAGTTTATAGACCACCAGATTCATCATCTGAATTCTTTGACCAGTTTGAAAAATTAATCAAAACTATTGATGATGAAGATAAAGAATATTCTTGGTGATCTAAACTGTGACATGCTAAAAACAGATAAGGAATCAAATCTTCCTACAAAGAAAATTAAGTCACTATATGAATTGTATCAGTTATCACAGTTGATCAATAAAGCTACTCGAGTAACTATGACTACCACCAGCCTTATTGACCATATAGTTACCAATAAACCAGAGAAAATTTCAAATTCTGGTGTTATACATACAGGTATAAGTGATCATAGTATGATATATGCAATTAGGAAACATTCCATTTTTAAAAAAAAACAAGAAAACACTACTGAAATTAGAAATATGAAAAATTTTGATAATCAAAAATTTGTTGAGGATCTTCAGGATCAGCACTGGGAATATGTATACTTTTTTGCTGATGACCCAAACACTATGTGGGAAACTTGGAAAAAATTATTCTTAGAGATCCTTGATAAGCATGCACCACTTCAACACAAAAAAATTAGATAAAAAAAAATCCCTTGGATTACAAGTGATATAAAGAAACTTATAGTTACAAGGGACAAATTAAAAAGGAAAGCCATTATCACAAACCTAGAAAAGGATTGGAAAAATTATAAAGCAACAAGAAATAAAGTGAACATAGAGCTTAGAAATGCTAAAAAAGATTATTATTCCTCGAAAATTGCTGGTCAAAAATGTGATCCAAAAAATGCTTGGAAAACCATAAACAATCTATTAGGTAGACAAAGCAAACCAACAGTGGTGAACGAGCTAAAGCTGGGTGACAATAGTTTAACAAGTCCAAAAGATATTGCAGAGGGCTTTAATGATTATTTTTCAAGTATTGGCCCTGATTTAGCAAGCAATATTCATACTTCGAATGACAGCTTTGAAAAATATGTTAAAAATTCTAAATCAGAATTCACTGCTTTCCAGCCGGTTACCGTCAGTAATGTCAACCATCTCTTGCATGGACTTTCTGGCAATAAAGCAACTGGAATTGATAAAATTTCTTGTAAAATTATTAAAATAGCAGCTCCTGCCATTTCAGATTCGTTCACATATATTTTTAATCAGGCAGTTACTCTCTCCTCTTTCCCTGATAAATGGAAAGTGGCTAGAGTAATACCTCTCTACAAAAATGGCCAACAAAATGCAGCAGGAAACTACAGACCAATTTCAGTTTTGCCAGCTATAAGTAAAGTTATAGAACGAATTCTGTACGATCAACTATACAATTATTTAACAAAATTTGAACTTCTGAGTAATTCTCAGTTTGGTTTTCGAAAATTTCACTCTACAGCTACAGCATTACTCGACTGTACTAATGACTGGTTTATGAACTTAGACAGAAAAATGTTTAACTTTGTAGTCTTAATTGACCTGAAAAAAGCATTTGATACTGTTGATCATCAAATTCTGTTAAGAAAGTTGGAACTTCATGGAATAAAAGGAAAAGCTTTGACCTTTCTTAAATCTTACCTCACAAACCGAAAACAGAAATGCCAAATAAAAG